AATGGGTTTTTGAAGGACAGTACCAGACGGCACGGGTGTGCCGGTATTGCGCCCTAGCCCGCGTGTTGGAGGTTGCTACATACACCCGCTATCCGGTACGGTATCCGTAAATGACTCGGCATGGGCACGGGAGGGCCTATGCCTCGATAGAACCCGGATGGATGAATGTCCGGGAAGTCCCGATGAGATGAACGACACGCGAGCCCATTCTCAATGGCATGACCGAACGAGTTATGATGAGCGACGACATCCCGAGACTCGGAATGGCGTCAAGACATATGGACCCTGTCGATGGGGATCGAGATGGCAAGACGAGATGCGACGTTGTATTGAGAGACCTTGGCCCGAGCAGAGGCAAGGTCGAGCCGAATGAGTTGGCCTAGCGTAGAGGCAAGTCGGATGTGTCGCAGATGATTGAACATACACGCACAGGCGGCGTGTGTGGTTGAACAAGCTTGGATTCCGCACAAGCGATGTTCGATTGGCGAAGACAAACCTCGCCTAAGGTCCGACGAAGCCACAAAGCCGGGGCGAAAAATATAATGGGGCTTAATTCCCCTTAAGGCTGGTCGTGAGCGTGTATAGATCACGACGCCGCACGGTCAAAGATATAGGACCGTGACACGAGGCACTAGTCGGAGTAGGATTAGACTCTCTCTATAGTAGACATGTTTTAAAACTGTGAAGCTGATAATGATACGCAACGAGTTAAAACAGACAATATCCGTTAGCGATGGCTTTGAGCTGTTACAAAACTTTATAAAATACATGAATTACTTTTTTTTTCATTGCAAATTAATTATGAGATGAAACTGGGTGTTTATTTAAAATTTTATAGAAAAGAAATCCAAACTTGATATTAAATCTTTTGATCGATTCATATCATCAAAATGACTTCAGTTTAACCAGCTCGATGTTGTGCCTAGGCTGTGAGAGCTCTCAGCCACATGGATAGTTCAATATGCTCATCAACGCCTGACCTTGAGATGTGGATCATCCAAGCACATTAGCATGGCATACTTCACTTGTTTGAACCGGGGTTTGAAACCAAACTTTTTTTTTCAAGAAGATAGACGAGTTGATTCAGGTGAGATCCAATGTAGATCCAATGTAGATCCAACTTTCTATTCACTCGTGGGATCCAGGCGGTTCAGGGGGACCACCTCGGCTCTTCTCTTCTCGAGAATCCATACATCTCTTATCAGTATATGGACAACTATCTCTCAAGCATAGGTTTAGGTTCGGCTTCAATGGAAAAAATAAAACGGACCACCTAACAACATATCTTCACAGACCAAGAACTACAAGATCGCTCCTTTCATTCTGGGGTGACGGAGAGATCGTACCATTCGAGCCCCGTAACCCTAAAATAATTAGTTGAATACATCAACAAGTAAGTGTCCCGCAATCAAAAGCAGAGAACTTCATTAATAAACCAACAAGAAAATCAGCCAAGATGTTATCCCTCAAGTAATTCATTAATTTCCCTTCACTCTCTTGAATTGAACCAACCACATAAGATGTAGCAATGAGCTTAATGCATCTCCATCTCCTTTCTTTTGCATATTTCTCTAACCCCTTCTCAATTCTCTTATATTCCTCTTCTCCTCCTCCAATTGGACTCCTCAACATCGCTTCGGCTAAACATCGAGCAAGAACGACGCCGTCTTCCAATGCAGAACAACCTCCTTGTCCGAGATCAGGGGTCATCGAGTGAAGCGCGTCGCCTGCAATACAAACGTTACCTCGAAAAAAGTCATTCCAAACCAGCTCCCAAGGTTGTCTACATCTCAATGGCAACGACACAAAAGAATCAACTTTAGTGTCTTCAACAACGGCCCTTACTCGATCAGGTACCTTTCCGAGCTTGCTCAAAATATGTTGCTTTAGTCTAACTGGGTTCTCTTCAATCTCCTTCCCTTCGAGTTTCACAATGTGTTAGGAATACAATACAAGAAGATATCACGAGTATTATTACGACGTTAAGAAAGGTGTGTCTAATGATTTCTCGTGTTCGGAGGGGCTAACCTTGTTTGGAAGAATGCCAAGTGCTAAACCAATAGACAGTGTTGGCATTACATGGCATAACACCAAAGCGAAGGCCTTTGCTGAAAAACCACATGAAATTATTCTCAAATCCATGGCCATTCTCGTATGTTGTAATCCCTCTAGTAGCGTTTCTGCCTGACAAAGAAGGCTTCTTGAAGCCCAGCCACTTAGCAACCACAGACTTCACTCCATCACACCCAATCAACACCTTTTTTTCAATTTCCCCAAAAGAGTCAGCATCATGGCCAAGCCCAACAAAAACCCGTTTTATATATGTAAAACCGCGCATCGAATGTTGACATGACTACTAATGAATCAGATTAGTATTTATATAACCGTTGTGTAACAGCCCAAGCTCACCGCTAATAGATATTGTCCTTTTTAGACTTTTTCCTTCGGTCTTCCCCTCAAAGTTTTTAAAATGTGTTTGCTAAAGAGAGGTTTCCACGCCCTGATAAAGAATGTTTCATTCCCCCCTCCAATTGATGTGGGATCTCAGAATCTACCCCCATTCGGGGCCCAGCGTCCTCCCTGGCACATCATTTAGTCTCCACCCCCTTCGGGACTCATACCATTGTGAGATCCCACATCGGTTGAAGAGGAGAACAAAACATCGTTTATAAAGGTGTGGAAACCTTCCCTAGCAGACATATTTTAAAACCTTGAGGCGAAAATCAGAAGAGAAAACCCAAAGAAGACAATATCTACTACCAATGGACTTAGGCTCTTATACGTTGTATAAGAAAACAAAAAAGACAGTTCGATCTATCATTTTCGTTCTTATTCTTTGATTTTCATTTACGTTAGAATCTTAGAGAGTAAGAACTCAATTATTCGATACGACCCCGTCTCTCCCTCACACTCAATCAACACCCTTTTTCCACTACAGACAACATATCAGATCAGAAAGAACACTTCTAATCTTAGAGCAATCATTCAACAACTAAACATGGCGGCTATGGCTTAAAAAGTAAATAATTTACCTTGGTTTTGAGAAGGGTTCCATCAGCAAGGTGCAGAAGCTTAAGAAAGCCAGCTGATTCTTCAATGGAAACAAGCTTGGAGGAGTATCGAATGGTGCCTTTCGGAAGATCCATTGCAAGTGCTTCTAATAATGACTTCCTCATTACAGTTCTGGCTTCTTGCTCTCTGTGCTCAAACAATAATACTACTATTAATCAACACTTTGAACAGGGCAGCTGTGACATATTTGGCAACAATTGCTGTTTGTGTTAGGATCGATACCCGTTGTTAGCTTTGATACCAATTGTTAGGATCGCTCAGCAATGCACATACTCGATCAAGATGAATACAAAGAACGGGAGAGAGAAAATACAAGAAGGGATATTAGCTAAAAGTTTTATTTATTATTGATGACTTCAGGTAAGTACAACACTAACCGGAGAGAGAAAATATAAGGAGGAATATTGGCTAAAAGTTTTACCAGGAGGAATATTGGGTAAAAGTTTTATTATGGATGACTTCAGGTATAGTTTTACAAGGAGGAATATTGGCTAAAAGTTTTATTATTGATGACTTCAGGGACGTACAACACGAACCGGAGAGGGCTAAAAGTTTTATTATTGATGACTTCAGAGATGTACAACACGAACCGGAGAGAGAAAATACGAGGAATATTGGCTAAAAGTTTTATTATTTACTAAATATATTTTCCAAAGATTTAAACCTACGAGATGGAATGTGAGATCCCACATCGGTTGGAGAAGGGTGTTAGTCGAACACGACTCTCCACAATGGTATGATATTGTCCCCTTTGAGCATAAGCTCTCGTGACTTTGCTCTAGGCTCCCCCAAAAGGCCTCATACACATGGAGCTTAGCATTCCTTGATTATAAACCCATGATCATTCCCTAACTTAGCCCATGTGGAACTTTCATCCAAAACGGGAACGAAATATTCTTTATAATAGTGTGGAAATCTCTTCTAGCAGACTCGTTTTAAAACATTAAGGAGAAGCCCGAAAGTAAAATTTCAAAGAGGACAGCATTAGTGGGCTTGGACAGTGGACTTGGACTACTACAAAAATCGAGAAACAAGAAACCCATTTTGATTCTAAAAAATTAGAAGCAAGAAACCGAAATATTGTCGAACAAGCACGACTAATTTTTCATGTTTCTTGCTTCTCGTTTTTTTTTTTCTTTTTTTTTTTTTTTTTTTTTTTTTTTTTTTTTTTTTTTTTTTTTTTTATGATAATGAAAAGCACAATTATATTTAGCCACTATTTTTTGCAATGAATAATTATTTTTTAGTTCTTATGTTCTAAAGATTTAAGTTAAAAATGTAAATTTTTTTATAACGAAAATTATTTTTATCATTAAATATTCAAATATTTATACTGTATTTATTTTAAAATATTAAAAAACTCTAAACAATTTTAGAAAAATGAGAAACAATCAACAAATACAGAAATCTCACCCGCAAGCCGTAAAGCGCAGATTCGAAGTTGGAAGCCCCGAAACCGCAGAGAACGTCACGTTTCTACAATCAACGAAGCCAAGAAACAAAATCGAGACTCAAATTAACAGAAACAGAAGAAAAATTCTAGAATCGAAGTATTACGGAACGATGAAGCGCAAGAACTACCCGGCGAGGCGATCGTGGTGGCGGCGGAGGGAATCGGCGACTCCCAAGGCGTCGAGAGCCTTCCAAGCATTATTCCATGTCGTCAAAGCATATCCAGCGGCTCTCAAAGAATCGGAAGTTTCTAACACTAAGCTTCGAATTCCTAACCTGTGAAGCCCTAAGGCAGTGGCGAGGCCTGCGATTCCCGCTCCGACGATCACTATGTCTTCGACAGCCGTTGCTTCCATGATTGATGCAGAGAAATCGCTTTGGCCTTGAAATTAATGGCGAAAGGATTTTGAATTGTCTTCCACCGTTTAGTTTTCCGGTTGAAGAAATGTTGTTAGAGAGGATAAATCATTGGAGGAAGTGCTCCAATAATTGCATTTTGTGGCGGGCTCTATTGCAAGCCGCCACAATGGAGTATTTTGTTGTTGTTTTTAGGCAAGTGAAAAATAAGTTATTTATGAAAAAAAAAAAAAAAAAAAAA